CCAATCGCACTTTCAATACCTATGCCCAATACACTTGACCATTGCAATGATCCAACACTTAGGTGTTTGCAATCATTTGCACTGTTGTCTCTATGACTATGTCTGGAACTCAGGGAATATGTCTGAAAAAGAGTCAAATTCAATTCATCAGCCTTAGAAAAGCAAGCATCAGATTTTGTATGCTCAATGTGTCTGCAGCGAAGCGCCCTCATATGTGGCCATACATTTGTGGCACAGTGGATGCCTTGATGCAGCAGGAGGAGATGTGTGTGGCGGTCGCAAGGGGGAGGCCTGAGATCTCCCATGCCATTGACTCCTTCATGCAGCAGGCCTTGGGATCTTTACGGGCAAGGTTGGAGAGGCTTCCCCATAGGAGAGTCTATCCAAATGCCTTCTATAGGACAGCAACAATGCTGGATATGTGAGAAGGGGAGATAATAGAGTATGTGATATATAATGTTCAATGTCTAAAACTACATTTTGAGTACATAGAAATGTGTTTGTTGCCTCCTCTCTTGGTAGGGCACGGCCCGCCACTTTGTGTAGTGCACAACTGCAGCCCATCAACATATTTTATGTGCATTCTTGCCCAAAAGACCAGTTTGGAGCCATAAATTGCATCATTATGCAGATTGCACATACACACACTCCAATGCGCCACACAACTACATCATAAACCAACCCCATTCTACACCTTCTTGACTTGGGCATGTGTTGGAATTTTCATTTTTACGCTCACCTTCTTATACACTCCTTGGGTGGCTGCGGCCACCCTCAAGGTATCACCACGTTGTTCAAGCGCGTGCCCTCATACTGCGGCCCCTCCAAGCTTCTCCCCTCCTCTAGGCAACCCCTTGTCCGGGCCTCTCCGCGATGGATGCCACGATCTCCGTGTCGATGGATTTTGATGGGTGGATCTCTGGTGTGCACCGTTTCAGCCTTCTTTGTTGGTCCACTCAGCTTCTTTGGCGCCTTCCTGGCCTATTTGTCCTATGCATTTTGCCTTGATTAGGTGGCAGGCGCCTTCTCATTATCCTTGGGCGTTTGTGGCCATCCCTAAACCAGATTCGAGGGATGCCTACAGGGGATCGTTAGGCAAATAGCCTAATGGGTATGTCGCTGAAGTGGCGCCTTTGCTGGGCAATGCCCCCGCCCTCTTGCCACTCTGAGCGGGGGTGCACGGCCTCCTCGGCCGCCACCCCCCACTCGCTTTCCCAGCGAGAGGTTCGTGGTGTGGCACTTTGCAGCACTGCGGGGCTCCTTTTTATGCCCGGGACACCTCAAGTGTCGTATGGTCTAATGTGGTGCCCAACGCTCGTAGCCACATGCACACCTATCAATCAGTAAACTGAATTTGCATGTCCAGAAAATGCGCTTGTCTGACCCGTTCGAGCCATCGATTTGTAGAGGTGGCCACCCGGATCCGTTGATAGCGGACAGAGGTTAATTTCCGTTAATTTTCCGTTAATTAACGGAAAATAACGAAAAAAGACAAAAATTGACCAAAAATTAACGGATGTTTGGATTTTTTGGGGATTTTTGGGTTTTAGTCATACTTATAGTTTATGGAATTCGCTATTAGAGAGTATGTTTGTATTTTATTTCAACCTATGCATACTAGATTTTCAACTAGCAGCAGTTGTTGTGATTTTTTGGGGTTTTTTTCGATTTTTTGGGATTTTTTTCGTTTTTTCTGAATTTTTCTCCCTTTTTCTTTAACGGAATTTAACGGACAGCTGATAAAAGTTAACGAATAAAATTTAACGGACCGGATGGCATCTTTGAGTGGCCACCTCTATCGATTTGACCCTTCAGTCCAGCCCACGCCACAACCACAACACTGGCGTTGCCAAAATGGCTACACAATCAAGGCCATTTTAACATATTTTTCAGGATGGGTTTGTGCCTCCCATATACAGCAAGACACCATAGCGATAGTTAAACATTTAAAATATTGTCTTGTACTTGTAACACAAAGACATATTGCAATGGGGCAATGCACATGACCCCAAATCCAAAGCATAGAATATGCAGCCAAACTTCAAAAGCAACACGTCCAGCCCTCTGACATTACTCAACCACTACAAAGGCACAGGACTAAACCCAATAAATTGACCAAGAACACGTTCCAAAATGTGTCCACACAAGATTAGGCAGTCTCTTTGAAGAGAACCTCCACAACTGGCTCCTTTTTCAAGTTAATAAAATTCCATACTATTACAAGTACACAAAATATGCCCTTGCACCCGCGCGAACCCCTCACAGCATATTGTCACTCCTTCCTTGTGTCCTATGCCACCAAGGGAAGCTGGACATGGCTCATGGGTAGTAAAGAGCGCATTGGCAGCAAACATAGAAACAGAAGTGGTGTTACACACAACCGTTTTAAAGTAAAAACAACCCTTTTTAAGTGTCTGAACAAAGTAGTCAACCTTCCCCATTCAGAACACAATTGACGGGTTGTCGGTCCTTCTATAGGGCCATGCACAATCCGGTGTATTTGTCTTTTCAAAACAATCACCAGCCTCTCACATGTTCCCTTTCTTCCACTAGGCCAAACCATTGCCATTTTTTGCAATAACTAAAGACTTTTGCCCCAAATCAGTATGGCTTGCACAGCCAACCAGGGGGGAAGTGTAAAACGTATTGTTAGCACACAAGGTAAGGGGAGTCGACTTATTTCTGACTCTCACTCCCTTACCCTAGTCGCGTGCTGAGCTTGCCATGGTCATCTTGGCCCATGACTTCCAGTACATGCAGGATTTCTATAGAGATAGCTAAAAATAGCTGTGCACAGCACAAGGACTGACACCGTGTCTGGTCTCTGAAATCCCACAGAGCCAGCACATCTGCCATGTCAGACCTGTGTGTGTAAGTGCATTTCAAGACTTCTGCTTAAACATACCCTTACACATCACATGAAAACCCTTTTTCCATGTAAATTACTAAACCAGTTGTCTCTCCTCGTCAGGTAGACAGCCCAGATGGTCTTTCTCAAAACTGGGAATAGTTGATCAGACCATCCCAATCTACCCACACAACCTATGCCCGTGAGGCCCAGGACCTCCCAGAATTGCCATTGAATCCAAGCAGTCTGGGGCGCTGAATGGTTAACATGAATTTGGTGAGAAGTTCTCACTGAGACCACAGGGTGGCATCTCATATCCAGCCCTTGTCTCCCTGACTTTACATCGCCCTCGTTCTCACTCCTAAAATTTGCGGCTGTCTGCACATAACCCATTTTTGGAGTGTTTTCTCTTTGCTTTGTTTTTCTTTTCTATATCAGCAATAGTGGCATACGCGGGCGATCCCATGCAGCGTGCACAGCGCATATGGTAGATACCCATTGTATGCCAATTACATAAATGATCTACCTAGTGAAATCGGTGGTCATAATGTGGCATCACGAACAGGCCGTTATTTGACAGCACCCCTGACATGGACCCAATGCCACAAGATGCCGTCAACATTAATGGTGTTGCGCGATTTACAAATAGCACACATAATAATAGAGTTACTAATCAGATCACTTTGCTGTTGGAGTGGAAAAACCGACACCCCTAACGGCGTTGAACAGCAATTACTCGCTGCCAAGGGCGCCTTGTGGTGCAATTTATAGGGGAACGGCGCCCGGCGTCATGGCTATAGGGTGGCACAATAGTGGCCGGCGTGTGTTCCAGCGCCAGTCCTTAACCATGTCGTGCAGTGCTCCTTCTTTGGATTCATATTCCAAGGGCTCTCCATGTCTCCAGAGTGCAGTTTGTTTTCCTCCATGTGTGCCATGCGCCTTTGATTTCTGTGTGTCCAGCATGCATTTGCTTCACTGAGTGTGTTGTGTCTCCTGTTGTGCATCATATGTTGCATCGTGTGTCCTTTTTTTGCTGTGATAACTTGCCTATGAGAATGAGCGGCCACATGGGGTTGTCTGCGGGGGTACTTTTTGATCAAATTTTAAGTCGTCATTGCTTTTGTCAAGTGGTTGATGTGCATTGTGCTATTTGCTGGGCTACCACACCTGGCTCTGAGGTGACAATGCAATGCTTGTGTGACACACACAACCTGCTATGCTCAAACAAGTGCATATTTTACGTTGCAAATATTCCCAACGACAAAATAAATCTGGACAACAAGTTATCTTTCAAAATTTCCCAACCGCACTGGGCAGATAAAAAAACTGAAGTGGCAAAGGCAAATGGCAAATTACGTCAATTGGAACGCCTTTTATGGCAGACAACGGCCAGGAAATTCCCAGGTGGCGCCTTACGGTGCCAAATCAACATTGGCACCAATAAAAATTAACCATTCTGGCAAACTAGCCAAACTAAGGGCACCCAGTAGGCAAAAGTCTCCAAGAAATACGGTTAATGGCACTCGACGGCATTCCAAAACCAGTGCCGATTTCTAATGCAATCCAATACACTAAATGTTTTCTGTATGTGCATTGTATGTATACATTGCATGCATGCGGACGACCTGCAACGAGATAGTTCGTGACCTTCCAGCAAGCGCAGAGCATGCCTCACCACTATGGTCCACAGAGGGAGGTCGCCAGATTCAACAGATGGATAATCAATGGACAAATGGTGGAACAAGCGGCGATCGTTGGAGGGGCCGTGCTTGAGGTGTTCTGTGAAGTTTCAATGAAACCAATTTGAAATCCATTGGTGTAGATCTATTAAAATATCTGCTGCTGCAAGTTCTGTACTTGTTGTGGCAACTGCTCGCCGGCGTTTGTGCTGCCATCCTCTTGCAAGCCCAGCCGAGCAGCAGCGATGGCTGCCCCACAGCTTGGAGGGAAGCACCGCTCGTGGCCAATTGGGCTGGGTGTGCTTGATCTCGTCCGTCAGGCCCAACAGCACAATGTCCTTGGACAACGAAGCCAGTCCAGTTTTGACGATATTGGTTGTCTGTAGGGCGTGTTCTGCGGCCCAAATGAGAATTTCAGCCCCAGGCCAATGATTGGGCTGATTGGCCGCCAATCACATCAAACCAAGCAGTCCTCAAAAGAGCAAGGGCTGCCGTGGAGTAACCAACAGGGTTCCAAAACCAAATAGGAGGCAACTTGGGGCGCCCCCCACCAAGCACTTATTCACCGAGTCCGCAATGGGCATCCACTGTATTCGGTAAGGGGAACAGAAAATTCCAGCGGCAAACGACATGGGCGTGTGCAAAGATGGCAGGAAATCAACAGTGGGGCCATCCTGCATTGTGAACTTAGCGAAGGGTCCAGCAGTGACCATGATGCATGTTGTAGATGTCTGTGCATGTCCTGACAAATTGAGGCGATGGATGGCCATCATCCTGCCCCAAGGAAAATCAATCCATGCGAACTCACCATCAACGGACGTGAAAATTAGTCATAAATCTAACAAACTTTATTTTTTTGACTTCTGTACTTTACTGCAAATCTAACGTGAATTCACATGTCGGAACCAACGCTGCATCTCGATTCTGCCCAGTTGGCAGCTGCTCCTTACACTTGAGAACATTGATAGCATTGCCGCGATGTTTTGCATCTTTTGGTGCATGCACGGCTGATTTGCCCAATGAAGACGGCCACTCCTTTCTGCGCGCCCTTGGGAGCATTTCGAGTGGTGAATGTCCTTAATCAGTTCATATTTCAGTTAGCTCGCACTTGAAACAGGCTGCTCTGGTCGGATTTCGTGCCTTCAAAGTCTGGCTGCGGGCGAGGAGAGCCGTGAGCGGCTGGCTGGCACACTCCAAGAAGCCCCTGCGCTGCGTCAGGCGGCATCTGGCAGCCAGCATTGCGACCAACAAAGTCAACAAGTCGACTCAACGTGTTTCAAGGTCACCCGGCTCATCATCGACCCCCTGTCGCCCCACCCGAAATCTACCAGTCCTTGCCTGCTTCTTCTCTCCCATCCCTGCTCGTCATTTCCTCTCTCTTGCTCACGCTCGCTCGCTGCCCAAGCTCTCCCTCCCCACCCAAGTCTAACCCCACAACCCTGGCAGCACCGACACAACCCTAGCCTAGCGCCCAGCAGAGCACTCCTGAAGCTAATAAAGCAAAAAACACACAGAATCTCGGATACAAATATGACTACATGCCACCGGCCGTCCCAGCAACGTGGGACCGTCTTGAGCTCCCCCATTATTGGGCGGATTCTGAGTCGACTAATTCAAACTTGACATTTCCCAAGCCTCCTGCCAAGATTCAAACCCGGTAGTGAGCTGAGGCAAGCATGCGCACACCCAAGCCTCCCTGCTGAGCATTCACAGCTGCCAGGGCCCCTGATGACGTCTGTTGAAGCCTCTTGATGGGAACCAAAATTGCGGCCCCATCAATCGCAGGTCAAACAATGCACAGCTTATTCTTGGTGCCAGCATACACTTGCATCACATGCATCCTGCCCTGCACGTTACTGGGCCTGTTCCCTCGCCCAGTCGCCCCTGTACCTCCCCAACCCGTTGCTCAACAACAGCTAGCCCACCCCACTGCCATCTTCCCCACAGGCAGAGTCACCAAACTTGGTACTGCGGCTCACTGCTCCACACTCCAGCGCTGGATTCGACCATGGCGTTCATGATACTGCACACAGCTGGACATTCTCTGCAGGGCAATGAGCGCCACACCTCATTGCAGGCCACCCAAGGGCTCTGCTTCTGCCCCTTTTTCACAAAGGAATGATTCAGTCATGAATGAATCAATCATGTATTTCAGTGATTCAACAATGGAACTTCCTTGGCTGAAGCGTCGTCTGGGAGCACCAACTGACAATTAGTCAGCCACGCCTTCTCCGTCCAGCAGCTCCAAGCCTTTTCCAAAGCCCTCTCACCCGATCATCCGAACTCCTGGACACCTTTGCAGCGGCGCAACCACGGCCTCCCCAGGCCCGTTCACCATACCTTGTGGCTTCCGTGCACCTTTCCTGCAGGACCTTCAGACCATTCCCCCAATTCCAAGTCTCCTCCACGGCGTCCCCACAGGTTCACAGCTGCCTCACAGCTTCATGACCTCTCCACAGGTTCCCAGCGCCTTCCTCAAATCACCCCAGGACCTTGTGGCATCCCTGCAGCTCCTCCCAAACCTCCTCAAGGCTTTCCCACAACTTTCTGCGCCTGCGATGCTGGCACCCCGCCCGCGATTGAACCCGCCACCATGCCGGGCAGCCCCGTCAGCTGCTGGAGGCTGCTCCTGAGCTGGAGGTTCTCCCGGTTGAGCACCGCGTTTTCGGCGATCGACTGCTGCCACTTCTCTGTGAGGTCCTGGATCTGGCGCAGCAGCTCTGCCTTCTCGGCTGTGATGCACTCCACCTGCCGGATGAGCTGCTCGCTCTCATGCTGCATCCGGGTCGCCTGCCAACCCACCACAGGATGATAATCATGCAGAATTATTCCAAGTATTGATGTACATATATCAAAGACACCTGAAAATGGAATAGCAGCAAAAGTGTCAACCTGTGGATGAAGCCTATTGGGTGGAGCCAACATGGGCTTTCAAAAATCAGTGCTGCACGACTCAGCTCAGATATTAAGCAGCCTGTCTATCATTTTGCTAAACTGCAAATTTCAGTAATCACCAATATCTGCAGTTGACTGCACCTAGAATGGCAAGCTAACAGCAATGATATGTGCATCAGCAGTAATGTTCCACGAAATTCAGTTTTACAACAGTCAGGGCACCATAACATATTCCTACAGGGCTCTTTCAAAGGGCTCTGCATGAGGTGTCCCCCATGGCTGATCACGTCTGTTTCCTTCCCCCCAGCAGTTTATGCTCCATAAATTACATCATATTGTCGATGACAAGGCCACTTGCCTGTGCTGCACATGTGTTGTACATGAATACTGGACATTATGACCAAGAGGTTGTCCACATGGGAAGGTGGCTAAAGACCACATTGCTGTTGCCTCATCCATGCGGATTCTCTGCAATTCTCGAATGCCCTTCGTAAGTAAAACATCATGCCCATGCTAGGGATGACAGGAGTGCGTTGACCATACTTAGGTTCTTTGGTATGTTCTGTTCTTTTAGCATTGTGAGGTATCATATTCAGATGGTCTCTGTTTCTATCAATATTCGGATGTGTTATTCAGATATTCTACTGAGGTACTGTTGCGTGCTTCCTTGCCTAGTTGAGTAATGAGGAAGCATTCAATTGTTCTGGATGCACAACGTTCTGTCAGCCCCCTCACTGTGCAGGGGTACTGTTCTGCCCAGTCAATGAGAGCTGACTTAATGTGATGAAACAGCCTTGGTGATCACTGCTCATGCATAATTTTACTCATTGCTGTTTCTGAAGCCTTGAATTGGAGCCTATTGCAAGCATCAAAGACAAGCCTTCGCAACAAAACTTGGGATCCAAGTGCCACTCCTGCAGTGGTTGTGTTGGAGGGTTTGGGTTATCGTTCCTCCCAAACCCCAAATCACATGCAGCAGAATAAGGTCCCACAACCCAACAAACGAGATGTGGCTGTGTGATACCAACGAGGAAAGTGCAGGGCGATGTCTTGCATGGACTTCTGGGGATGAAGCCACATGATGCCAACGTCAGCTTGTATTGGAGCTGCTGGGCTGGAGTTCATGCAACCCATGGATTCCCACAACCCACATCTACTGAATCTGCTTTTGTCGTCACCATACAAAATGGTGCTCAAGCACCTTGCAGACGATGATGTGTGTTGACACATTCGCATTTAAGCATGCACACATTCACGCATCTGTGCACGTGTGCATTCACACAATTCCCGCATTCGTGCACGTGTGCATTCACACAATTCCCACATTCCCACATTCACTCATCCTCACATTCACACACACACAGGCATGTATTCAAGCACCCAGCATTCATCTCTACCTCTGTTCGCAGCTCGTCCAGCTCCTTGCTCCGCCTCTCCCGTATCCGCCTCTGTGAGTTCCTGTTGATCTCCCTCCGCCGCCGTATCCTCTCTGTCTCCGACATGTCCAGCAGGCTGGCCCGGCCCTTGCCATCCTTCTTGGGGCTCATCGCGACGTCGCCCATATCATCTGTCGCCGCCATCGCCAGAGGTGCCTGGCCCTCTGGGCCCATTGGCATCTGGGACCCTGGGACTGCCCCTTGCATCTGGGCCCCAGAGACTGGCCCTTGCATCTGGGCCCCAGGGACTGCCCCGGGCAACTGGGGCCTGGGGACCACCCCCTGGTGGGCCTCCTGGGAGATGGCCTGCTGCGGGAAGGGACAAGGCCCCATGGGCTGAGCATCTGATCCTAGTTTTGATTGCATTTGTCACTTGAACAAAGTCAAACGTCTTTTCACCAGAGTGGCAGTCTTGCGTAATGAAGGGTTGAGCGGGTGGCTGAATTGATGCCAGCAACAATGTTTGGGAGAGGAAGGAAGGCAGATTAGCAGCACATGTGCGGCAGAGGCACATGGCAAGAAGTGAGTCAACACAGAATGAGGTAGGACACTGAACCAATTTTCACAGATGTCCATCCAGCTGGGTGTCCTTGCACAGGAATGAATTTTGTCTTTGGCACTGGTCATTGAATTTGTAATTTATTTCAGGACAAATGCACTCGGTGTCCAATCATAAGAAACAATGCGACTGATCATACAAGAGGATGTGATCAAATTGCCTGCACGGATCAGTTCCAGATTTCTGCACCATCTCTGTCAGTAGTCATCCGAGTCTCAAGTTCGTTGCTTGGGGGTGCGACGCAGATTGTCTGACTCACCACCAGCTCTTGAACAGTTCATTGTATTGCTGCTTTTCAACAGATTCCTTTCTGCAGAGAGTATCAGCAGAACTGGTGACAAACATCAATCTGATAGATCTTGGCGGGGGTCACCATTGGCTGTGGCAATTGTGAATGACTTTTCTTTGAAGCAAACTCCCTCATCATGGAATTTGGGACAGCGCTTATCAGATCATGGCTCAGCAGCAGGTGTTTTGCATCGCATCGTCACCAAATGGGCCCTTGCACTTCACTTGAGCAATTCCTGTAAAACCCTCACCCATCTATCTGCTCACTCCTTGCTGGAGACTACCAATTCAACTCGCAACGCTGACGCAATCTTCCCTAGTTGCAAATGCTTGCGCTGTGTACTCGTCCTTCCTATCGGAGACCCTATATCATCTTCTCACAGCATGGAACAGAGCCTCGCACACACTAGCTTGGGAGGGGTGCCCTTTGTATGACCTGAATCTTTCTCTCTTTGTGACAAATCTTACCTCAGTTGCCACAGCAGGGAGGGGGGACGGGATTGCTTTGTATGTGGGTGTGGGTGGGCTGGGGGTGGTCACCCATTGCCATTCCAATGAAGCATGCTCTGATTCTCTCAAAACAAAACAGGGGGAATCCCTCCCTCAGCGAGCAAGCATAGTCCACACGACCCAGCCGGGATGCCAGGCTCACTGCCCACACCCAAAAGCTTCGCCACCCCAGACACCCAACCGACATGGCCGAATCAACCCCCACTGCGCCAGCCCTCGATGTTGACCGAAACATTCATATGAAAATAGAAATAGTCATTGAACCTAAATCCCCCTCCCCCTGTCACAAACTCGGCTAAGCCCATCCCCGTGCCGCTCCCACGGCTTGCCAGTCTTCTGGCTCTGACTCTGGGCACTCAAAATGCCAACCCACCGCGCATCCATTTGGCCCCGCCACAACCGCCAAACTTTGCCAAAAAAAAGACAAAACGCAGCGCCTGGATCTACCACTCGGTCCCCCCACCCCCACCCCACACCACACACGCAACCCCACAGCCCACCTCGACTTGTACCCAAACTCTAATCTTGGTGCTAGGCCACTGCCGCGCCCTGCCACCGACACCCCATGGTGCCCTTGCCGTGTTCTCCACCACTTGCACCGAAGACTAAACGTTCTCACACGCCCTCCCCCAGGAGCGGGCGCCCTTCACAAGACCTCTTTCTCCTCTTTGTAACCATCCCACCCCCTCCGCTCCCGGTGCCAAACCTGCGCCAAAATAAACGCCGCCCAAAGAGCCCGCACCCCGACCCGGCGCTCGACCACCCATCCCTCACCTGTAGGTCCTGAAGGTAGCCGTCGCCATTAGAGGCTGGGATCTGGCCCATGGGCCCCAACCCCCCCAGGGCGTCCTCCCGCATCGAGCCCTCCAGCATCCCGCTCACCGGCGCCTTGCTGTCCTCCTCGCCGGCCATGATCTCGCACGCCAGCTGCGACGGGCATCAGAGCCTCAGTCACGCCGCCGGGCTACCCGTGAACCTTTCCAGTCCCCGAACGCCCCGGCCGTGGCGAGATTTGGCGCCGCGCGAGCGCTTGTGCCCATCAGCAACCCCAAAAATCACCATGGGTGCATGCCTCGACATTTCCACCAAGCGAAGATGGGGCAGCGCACCAGGGCCTCAGCCACGCCGCCGGGCTCAACAAAAACGACCCACTCCAAGTTTGGGCGCGCGGAGTTTTGGCGCCACTCGAGTGTTTGTCATTGTCCCCACTGGCACCCAAAGCCCGCCCTCCAGGGATGCTTCGACATTTCCGCCGCGCGAAGATGGCGCCACGCACTAGAGCCTCGGCCACGCCACCGGCTCCCAAAAGACCACCCCCAAATGGCTTGACCGCCGGGAGCTTCTTTTGGCGCGACTCCTGTGCTGATCACTGTCCCCAACGGCCCCCAAATGCCAACCCGCATTGTGCCTCGACAAATCCACCGCGCAAGGATCGAGGCGCGGGTCGGCGATCGCGCCAGGGACGGGGCTGCGCGGGCCGAGGCCGATTCGACGGCCAAAAGCTCCGCCACGGTTACCGGAGTGTGACCCTCACCCCCGACACCAAAACGCGAACAGCGCCGCTCCCCCGGTCGGCTAACTGTCGGCACGCCCCCGTCGATGCGAATGCAGGCCGCATTCCCCCTGCCGTCCCTCCCTCCTTCTCCCCATTACCCACCCAAGCAACACACTCCGCAAATCCAGCAAAAGCAGCCGAAACAGCAAATACAGCAAACACAGCAAAGCCTCACCTCCCGCCAACTCCCAATCACCCCACCTGGGAACGCCAAAGATTGGCCCCCCCCCCTTCCCCAACACAAATCGAAATGCTTCAATTCTTTCCGCCGTTTCTTTCCAAACGCGGCGGCCAGATCTCCCTGCCACACCCCAGCGCGGGATTCCCCCTCACCTCAGGCGCGAAGTACGGCTCGACAGCGCCGAAGGTTGGCGACTCCACCTTGGAGCGCGACACCCGCCCGCGGGGGGCAGGCGGCGCCGGAGGCCCGGGGGCGTGGCAGGGGGGCAGAGGCGGTGGGAAGCCGTGCGGCCACACAAGCACGAGTCAGCAGTGCCCCGCTTGGGGCGCCGCGCCACGCGGTGGCTCCGGCGGAAGGTGAGTCAATGTGGGCAAGGAGGGGTGGGGCCGGGAGGGACGGGGGGACTGGTTTTGAAGCCGCTCGTGGGGCAAGCGTAGAAAAAAAGCGAAGGTTGACGTTACCCCGGAGTAACGTAACCTATTGCTTGGGGGCGGGGGAGGGGGTCCTTTTGCCTTTCCGGGTCTTTTTTGGTGTTCCCTTGGTGATGAGGGATGTCCTGCCCCTGCGCTTTTGATTGCTGGGCGCTCCGTGGCTTGGGGATACACGTAATTGACGTCAGTGAATGAAGTTAAACGGATATTGGCCGTTGGGAGGGAAGTTTACAGGAGGTGTTAGACTTGCTAGTACAAGTGCCGCCCTTTGGGACTAAGGGCGGCAGTGAGTGAGTCACACCTACCAAAGGATTGGTCATGCTCACGTGGAACAGTCAGTGACCTAAAGGCACGGTGTGTAATCCGGCTGGACACGTGAGGTGCCCACCGGTCTGTGAGTAATTTGTGTTGAAAGGTTACTCTCAAGGGTTGTACCGGTTGGGGCATGGACAAAGAGGTGTGGCGAAAGGTTGTTCTATTCTTTCTTTCGCTCCCGCCCACCTCAGCCCTATGATATTGTGGCTTGACGTTATGTAAGAGAGACGTTTGGCAAACTGGAGAGTACGTCACCGCGGTGACGTTGGTGCACCCGAGTGGTCACTCTGGGGTTGCAGCGGAATGTGTGTGTGTGTGTGTGCGTGAGTCTGAGCGTGAGTTATGGATTGAACTTTCACTGACTGGAAACGGGTTGGGTAAGGCCACCCGTGTTTAACGTTCCTTACTGGTTTTGGGCGGTTGGCATGACGTGCGAGCATTGTTTGCATGGCAAAATGGCGCTTCCGACGTTGGTGTGGCGTGGCGTGCAACCGCAAGCAGTCAGCGACGCAATTTGTCCTGAATCGAGCGTGGCTTGGTTTGCACGTGCGATTTGCAGTGCAACCGACAAAAGCGCGTGTGGGAAGCCCCCCATGTTGCGTGTAGCGATGCGGGGCCCATCCAGACTTCAAATGCTCCATTGAGTGGTGGTCGGGAAGGATGGAACTCGCATATGTCGGCGATCACTTGCCGCGCTGCATGGCGTGTCCCTGGGTTCTTCCCACCTGGGCACTAACGTAGTGGCCCACCAGACTAGTTTAATGTCTGCAAATGTAGACTTGCAACACCTGTTGGGATCCCCTGAGCATCCAGTGCCGCCAGAGGCCCGCAATTAGCAGAAAACATAACCATGAGATACAAAATGCGATCTCACTTTACGCTAAGTGGCGGCATCAGTGACTCTGATGGCACAAATTAACTGTAAAGCCATCAACTGATATGAAATTGCCTTGCCATTGGCGTAGCAAAAATGTCGTTTGTACTGGTGCTCCCGGCAGGGCAGGGGTTGCTGGGGCGACGGGAGTTGGGTTTTTCAAATGCCTTCTAGGTGCAGTGCTGTAGCTCAGTGGGATCGCGGGTCGCTGCAAACAGACCACGCTTGATGCCAGTAGTGCCTTTCGTAATAGCGGGGTTCATTACCCTACATTCAGTCTGCTAGTGGAATGCTTCTCCTCTCAATACAGGATTAAAAATCTACTTCTTCTTTTCTTTTGCTCGAGGTGTTCATTTTCTGTTTTGTCCCGCGGTTTCCAGTTGTTACATTGCTTTCGCACCCTCTCTAGACCTTTCTGAGCTTTGACCTGTTCTCTTTTTATTCGTTGTGGCGATGAGGCGAGGCACCACCTCATCTGCAAGCAGGCAGAAGTGCAGGAGGAGTGGCGGCATTTCGTTGAATACTAGGATGATAGGTAGTGGCGTGATCAAGTGGATGATGCTGAGCACGATGGACGTGATAAACGTTGAACCAAAAAGTTGATGTTGAACGGCTGTTGCGCCGGTCTGGGCTGTGCAAAAGGTGCTTACACCACAACAGCGATCTGGCAGTTCTTGTGTAATTTAGGCCAAAAACAAAACCATTTTTTAATCAGGGTTTAGGCAGTAAGTGGCACTTGACCAAACATTGGTTTTTGAAAATTTGCCACAATAATCAGTACTAACTGGTACTTTCCTCTCCAAGTTTTCACAAAAATGTGTTCCATATGATCGTCAACAAACAGGAATGGCGAACACCAGTATTTGCAGTGTGGCGGGCTTGTTATTTACGTAAAAACAACATATTTACAGGCATAATACTACTAAGCCTAAAAATAGTGTTTACGCTTTTGCGCATACAAGCATTTAAGATTTCGTAAATATGGACCCTGTGCACATGCGGCCAGCACCTACAGACTCAGAGAACCCACGGAGTGGCAGCCAGACGTGCTGGAGCTGGCAGAGGACGACCGTTGCTTCCACGACGTCGTCGCCCTTGCCGAGGTCGAGGTGGATGCTGTGCTGGGGGGCGGCGGAGTGACCATTGTTTGCAACTTCATCTTGCAACCTGGGTGTGTCGACGCGCTGTAAAAGTGCATAAATGTGACCGTAGGAATAGACGTTTCTCTGTTTACACATTTTCATCCATAAAGGTGCGAACGTAAAAGTGGTGCCATGAATGCAAATAACAGGCCTGACAGCGATAGAGACAATTTGGTGATATGTTTGAATATTCTTCTTTACTCATAATGCACGTATTTAGCTGATTTATTATGACACGGTTAGTCATCGGGTTAAATGCAGTGATCCTTCGGAACTGGTCGATCGCACATGAGCAAAGTTGAACTGTGCGCACTTTGCACCCCATGGTGATCCTTGGCAAGCACATTTCTGTATACTTGCCAACACACATAGTAATGTACAACGCAATTCACAATAGCACGCAACACTGTAGGCCTTCTTTATTCCGGATATAAAAGCGCGAACACCAAATTCGGTCCAAATGGCGTGGGAAAAAGGCTGCGGGAAAAAGAGAACTTGTGCTTTTCTGGATCCGGACTTTACATATCCGGAATTTGCAAAGATGATAACATTCATTGGAAAAAACGAACGCAAAACGTGTTGCGAACCACAAGTACAACACTGAAGAGCAAATCTTCCCAGGATTCACCTGCACAGCCCTCCCTTATCCTTGCTAAATCCCGACGTCCTTCCAAACCGCGTTCTCCGCTATGTTGTAACAAGAACTGATCGAGCATTGATAGCAGCCGGACGCATGCAGAGGTGTTGAGGCATAAGGAATTGCATTAAGGACATTGACCAATAGACTGGATACAAGGGACGCAGCTCCTGTTGTCGTTTTGCTCGGCTGCAAAACCGTTGCCGTGTACTCGAGCCTACGATACCCAGTCAGGGGTCGCCACACCTCGACCCTGCTTGCCTTTCGTCAGCACCAATGCTCTGACCGCTCACAACCGGCCGCAGCCGTGCGCTGTCCCAACGGGATTCCCTTCTCCGCGTCAGGCACCTGTACGCCACACCACCCAAAATCCACACAGAGCCAGCTAACGCCGGATTCTCGACAGCTGGCATCAGCACCTTCCCCACAGGGCGAACAGCCGACATCAGCACCTTCCCCACAGGCCACACACCGAGTGCGCCAGCAGTGGCATGTGCGCACAGGCACATCGCCGCGCCGTGAAAAATCGCAGCCTCAGGCTCGTCACGCCCGGCGGCCGCCACTGCCGCCGCCCCGTGGGCCGCCGACGCCAGTCCAAGTCCCGCCCCGGTCGTCGCAGCGGCGGCCGGCCAGGCCAGGTCGAAATTGAGATCGAGAATATGCCCCCCCGACAGGCGCAGGCTCTCGGCCGCGACGCCCAGACCCCCCGCGGCGATTGCAGCGCCGGCGGTGAGGCAATGCGCGGACCCCGGTCGCAGGCCGTGCGCCTTCATCGAC